GTGACACAATGATTCTCCACAACCCAACTTTATTGTCACTCCCAAGCTCACTAGAATTTCTCAAAAACGCCTCTGTTTCGTTATCCACAAACATATGAAAGCAGATATTTCTTTTGGCATATTCACTAATATTCTTTGGTTGTCGAATTAAATCAAATGCCCCTGATCAAGAAAATATTTACTACATTAATAAAAAAATTATATCAAGGTAAACTGAAACACCATTAGGGGGGCAGTACCAAATACTGCTGATGCCACAACCACCCCTCCACAAGTTTCCATCTCAAGAAGGTCAGAATCATCAATGTCGAAACCTGTTTGATGGCCTGGTTTCGATCCTCTAACAAACCTTTGCCAAGACCAAGAAACATCGTAGAAACAATTCATCAAAAAAAAAAAGCAAAGCCTAAAAGTAATAATTGAAAGAAATTGCATACCAACAAGAAACCCAATTTAGTCAATAGAGAAGTATCATACCCACAATGGACGTTCATTGACTCTTTAATATCATAAGAATCATTCCTCTCTATAAGTGAAGGATATCCACCGAATTCCGAACCTCCAAATTCAGATTTAGTTAAATTTTCGTCATGAATATATGTCAAACTTTTAAGTACAGGAGAAAAGGACGGTGCATTTGGGATAAGACCAATAGCATCTTCCACTGGCAGGTAACAAACAGGGCATGCTGCAAGAATAAAAGGCAAGCAAATTCACCAAAAAGGATAACATCCGTTATAAAATAATACAATTCAAGAGAAGTTGCTTCAAACTCACGACGTGGCCCTGTCCTTTTCTTATCTGCTGGTGGTGGAGGCAACGTAAAACTTTCGCACGGATTCCCACGAGGAAGCGTGTATCCAGTAAAATAAACAGGGGCTGGAGGTGGAGTTAAGGGCAGAGGAAGAGGTGGCAGCGGTGTGGTGGCATTTGCAGTTTCCTCGACTTCCCTAACTTGAGAAGACAGATTTGAACTCATTTTCTTCTCCTCTGATATTGGTCCAGAGTGAATATTCTTATTATGAAAAATGGTTTCTCGAGCATCTTCGACTTCCCTAACTTGAAAAGAGAGAATTGAACTCATTTTCGTCTCCTCGGATATCGGCCCAGAGTGAATATTCATATTTTGAATGATGGTTTCTCGAGCATCTTCACCTTCAAGTAAACACAGTCTCGTAATTATTAACTTATCGACAATCCAATCCATCCCGTGTTTCATTTATGCCTAAACTTACCCATTTTACATTAAAAGAGTAGCATAAACATGTTCCTCTTCAACATGCTTCATCATCAGCCAAAACTGAAATCAAATTCGAGACAGAAAAATAGGAAGCCCGTACCTTTGCCGACATACAACACCCAGGCAAAAACTGCCGTCGAGACAAGGCACAGGAGCAGCATACCGACCTTCTTTCGAGGGGCGAATCTGCAGATCCAGTGGAACAATCGATCCTTCTCCTTAAACATCTTCGGGGGCTTTCTTGATGAGATAGGTGGTGTAGTTTGAATGGGCAGTGATAAAGAGCCGTTCTGAAATTGCTGCTGCAGTGATCCATAGCTTCCGGAAGATCGAAGCCCGAATGATCCTGTACTCATTGTTCAACCCCCAATCCCCAAACTTCATCTCTCATATCTCCCTCCCCTCATTCACTACACCAACAATTGACTCTATTTATTCAATTCAATTCCCAATAAAACAAAAATTACAAATCTGCAGTTTTTTCTAGATTCACCTCAAAATTCAGGAATCAAATCGTAGAATGAACAATGCTGAAACTGCAGAACCCCAATTCACGAAACAGAGCAATAGTAGCACAGTATGCACAATATAAATAAAATAAATAACTGATCAGAGTATTTCTTCAGCTGTATGAATCCAACTATAGTTTGATTCTTTGGATACAATCTACACAAACAAAGTTACAAAACCTTTTGCAAAACAGCCAATAGAAAACCCAGAGCAAGTACAATTGGATTGAATCGGAACTCTGTGATCGAAGAAAACAAAGTCCGACGAACAAAAAAAACACACTTGCACACAATCAAAACTGAGGAATGGTGTTCCCAAATCCGCACATCAAGGAAGGAAATTCTGCTCGGTATTTCAACTCCAAGTCCACTAATTGCAACGCATTGATTAGACAGAGGAGAACAGAACAGAACAAATTGAAAAAAAATAAAAAATTAAATTAAATGAGTCCTGAAATTGAGGGATGAGCGGGGGATTAATTTTCTAGGGTTTGTTTAAAAATCTGTACAGATCACGATTCACGAATCGGATTTTGATTGGAGAATGTATTTTGTCTGTTCATGATTTCATGTCTATGTGCAGTGACGGTGCTGAATTTTTTTATTTATTTTCTAAAATACCCCTCGAAAACCCTTATTTTTTTATTTTTCACAAATAATAATAAATAATATAAAAATCATTAAAATACATATTTTACATTATGTGAAGAGGATATCCTGCGCCGAAATAAACGGGGGTCCTACTTTTTATATTTACCTGTAAGAGCAATGAGTCATGCAAATTGCAATAAGATCAACAAAATTATTGAGGCTAACATGCGCCATGTGCGCTACAATTTTAGCTTATTTATTAATCAGGCCCCATAAATTGTATTATCAAATGTTAAACCTCGTTTGTATTTTAGTAATACTGTTTGACTTAAAATAAAATTTTGACCATTTTTTAGTCTGGTTTCGTCAAAATACAAAACACAAAAATTGTAGACTTTTGTATTATCTTTCTAGTTCAACTTTAGTTAGCTAATTTGAATGTCGGATGACAATTTCTATTTTAAAGAACATAAATTATCAAATTTATAGGTAATGTTCTTTGATTCATGAATAATTTTTTCATTCGATATTCAATCTTGGTGATTCGAGTTAGATTGTAAACATAACTCGAGCAACTACAATTTTGAGCTCTCCATATTGCCTAATGCATACTAGAAAATGATTGAAATCACATTTGAAGTTGAAACGAAACGATTAAAACTGAAACAGCATTTTTCAAATCCCATTTGTATTATTTTTAATTTGTTTTTCCCTTAAGTTGAATTATATGAGTAAAGTAAGAGCTAAGCTTGTTTGGCCATAATAATTAGTGGCTAATACCTACCGGTGTGTAAATTAAATAATAGAGTTGTCAGTCTATATTTTGTCTCACCGTGTTTAGACGTATTACCCAATTAAGAAAAGGACAATTAGGCAATTTAATGTATTTCATTTGGTACATATGATGAACTGTCATCTCAATCTATTTCAATTGGGATGTTACGTTGAATTTTAATTTAGTATTAAATAAATAAATAAAAATGTCGGTATGTGTTTAAATTGTTAACTGTAAATTGCTGGATTCGTGAATCTCAGTCTAATTAAACTACCCAATAATTATTTTTTAGAAAAAAAATCAACTGTCCATTAACAAATAAATACTGTTTTATAGATGAAGGATCACGCAAAAAAATAAAAGAAAAAGGAAAAAATAATAATCAGCTGCAAAGCTCTAAGTATTAGAGAGGGTCGTAGATGGATTAGACTCCTTAATTACGAGTTTAATTAAGCAAATTGATGGGAACATAAGCATCAGAAATTCAAACTTTTCTGATGTAAAGTCGTTTTTAGTTTTATACAACTATTAAGAATCTCAATAAATATTTCTTAATTTTAGAGGAAAAAATGCATTATAATAACTAATATAATTAATGATGTGATCAGAGATATTTAATAGTTATAGTTGAATTAATAATGAAAAAATAGGGAAAAAATGCATTTAATGAAATATTGAAAATTTAAAATAATAAAAAATATTATAGAACATAAATATTTTTAGAAAGAGATAGTGATTATACAACATATTACGCACACGTCCTTGTGAGTAACATTTTTTTGCAAATATATTTTGTTATGTTTGATTAGTGACCTCAACTGTTTTGAGTAAGACGTAACAACTTATCATCTATTAAAATAATTTATCAGATGTAAAAATTAATCAACTATTTAAAATAAGTTTAGTCTTAATTATAAAGTGTCTAAATGATGTATTAGATTTGACCAATAAATTGTTTGACATTGAAATCTGAACTATACTCTCATCTCCATGACATAAGTGAGAGAACTATTCAACTATGAAAGTCTTTGATCTTAAATTCGGTTATTGAACTTTTAGTTTTATATTATTATTATAATTATAAAAAATATATCTTTTTTGTGCTAAAGTCAATACTTCAACACTATTTTCATTATAATACAATGATATAATCTTGCTAAAAAAAAATTGATGACTTTTTTTTTTTAATTTTCAATAATCAATGAAGAGAACATCCAAATCACATTAAATTCGAAGTATCATCAATCATATATATCCATATGAAAATTTCAACTCGGATCTTATGAGTCGACATTTATATGTATATAAATTAAATTAATTTCTAGATTTCAATAAATTAAATAACCAATTTTACAATGAGCAATAAAATATAAATTTGGGCCGCAAAACGTGGACTAACGCAAAATCCTGGGCCCATTAGCCCTTAATCAAGAGTCGTTACTCAATTAACCAATATCAAAAGTTGCTGATCATAATTATGCGTGAAGGTGACGCTTTTGTTATCTAATTACTAATGCCAGCTGGCACCGTACACGACCTAAACTAAACTAACCACCGCCGTACATGAACAGATTCCGATAACGCCACTTTCTAGAAGCAAGTAAAAAACGAAATAAATACACCTGTAGGATTTTTCGACGCCGGCCGGCGGCGCGTCGCGCCGGCAGCCATCTTCTCGGCCTAATTAATACATTTTATTCATTTTTTTAATATTTAAATGGTCATCATTTCAAATTGTAGTTAATTTCAGTAGGAAATTTAAGGTGGGAAAGGTGGAAATTTCCCCCTTTGACCCAGCTTTATTCAATATAACTTTGCAATGACAAAATTGCCCCTTGTTCATTTAACATTTACACATTTATTTATACGGTCGAGTTTAGAAATGTAAAACTAAAGTACAGTTTCGGTGAATTTCGAGGTGTATATAGAACATCTACAGAACTGTAATGTAAAGTTTTCGACTCACTACATAACGGGATTTTGGTAAATATTGGTTGCATCTTCTTCTATCGTTTAACTTATGTAAAAGCTTTTACATGGTTATTCTTTTGAGTCCGTGATATACCGTATATCATCCTTTATTATTTTCTTTTAATTTATAAAATAAGATGCAGATAATATTAATACACATATCATCTATAAACGATAATCATCTCCTATTACAACACCGGGTGAAATAGACGTACATTGGATAAATTTCAAATTTTATATACAAATATACAAATGATATAGGAAAATATATATTAATCCATACACATGAATATTAGAATCAGTGTTCTAAAAATCGGCCGAGGCGGCCGATTAATCGGTCGCCTAGGCGGAGGCGGTCCAAAACCTTTACGATTTTAGTGTAAAGGTTTGAAAAATCGGTTTTTTGCCTGTGAGGCGGTTTGAGGCGGTCCGAGGCGGTCTGAGGCGGTCAAACCTTTAAGGCGGGTCAAACTTCGGTGGAAAAAATCGGTCAAAAATCGGTTTTTTTTTTTTTTTTTTTTTTTATTTTATAAATCAAAATAAAAATTGGAATTTAAATAAAAAAAAAGGATTTTATGCTTTATTTTGTTTATGTTAATTATTATTGTTAAAGAACTAATGATGTATGCCAAGAATGTATGTAAATTCAAAAAAAATTGCCTTTTTATTTATATTTTATAAGGATATTTATGTATTATGATCTTATTATTATTAAACTTTTATTATGTTATTAGAATATATACATGATGGAGATATAACTATGTTTAAATATTTTTTATCTATGTTTTGAGTATTTATAAATAATATCTACGAATATATTATATTAAATTTTAAAAACCGATTTATTTCCGATTTATCACCGCCGCACCGATTAATCGTGAGTCGGTGCCTGACCGAGTCGGACCCGATTACCGATTTTTACAACCTTGATTAGAATATAGCCATATAAAACACAACCAAAATAATGGCATTCAAAAGATTCCAAGGGCAAAAAGGTAAATTCAGGTAGCTAAAGTTTGACTCATGAAAATAGTCAACAAAAACACACGGCAGCTGAGCTGGCACTGCCATTCATTCATATCTGGATTCTCTTTTCCCCCTTCCCCAAGGACCCCAAATTTCTGAAAACCTCAATCTCCATGAGAGCCACCTCTTTCAAACCCCAGAGCTGCAAAGCAATGAAGAAACCCCAAATCCAACTCCTGCTGTACTTACTGGCAACAATTCTAACCGCCGATCACACCTCCGCCGCCGATTTCATCTTCAACGGCTTCGAATCGTCCGACGTGTCGCTCTACGGCAACGCCACAATCGAATCCCGAATCCTCACACTCACAACCGACGCAACTTTCTCCATCGGCCGCGTTCTCCTCCCTTACAAAATCCGAACAAAGCAGCCCAATTCGTCGGTAGTTCTCCCCTTCTCCACATCCTTCATTTTCGCCATGGCTCCTTACGCCGGCAGGCTACCCGGACACGGCATCGTTTTCCTGTTCACCCCGCACGTGGGAATCGAGGGTTCCAGCTCGGCGCAGCATCTGGGCCTCTTCAACTTCAGCAACAACGGCAATTCGAGCAACCGCGTCCTCGGCGTCGAATTCGATGTGTTCAAGAACGAAGAATTTCGAGATATTAACGCCAATCATGTAGGGATTGATGTGAACTCACTCATCTCTGTTGATTCCTACGAAGCGGGCTATTGGCCCGACGATGGTAACTCGTTTAAGAAACTGACTCTCAATAACGGGAGGAATTACCAGGTGTGGATTGATTACGTTAACGGCGCCGTTAACGTGACAATGGCGCCGGTTGGGAAGAAAAGGCCTAATCAACCGTTGCTAAGTGTTCCTCTCAATCTTTCGGAAGTTTTCGAGGATGAAATGTATGTGGGATTCACTGCAGCTACTGGAGCTTTAATCGAGAGCCACAAGATTTTAGCTTGGAGCTTTAGCAACACTAATTTTTCAACTAGCGAGAGTTTGATCACTCGTGGTTTGCCTTCGTTCGAGCTTCCGAAAACTCCGATTCACAAGACCAGAGGCTTCGTTGCAGGTTTGGTTGTGGGCGTTTTGTTCGTCGCTGCTGTTTGCTCTGTTATTGCTTTATTGTTGGTCAAAAGGAATAGGAGACTAAGAAAGATAAAGGAGGAACTGGAGGATTGGGAATTGGAGTATTGGCCCCACAGAATCACTTACCAAGAAATCGAAACCGCAACCAAGAACTTCTCAAACAAAACGTGATCGGGATCGGTGGAAACGGTAAAGTCTACAAAGGAATATTCCCTGGAGGCTCGGAAGTTGGTGTAAAGCGTATCTCCCACGAAAGCAGCGAAGGCATAAGGGCATTTGTGTCAGAAATATCGAGCCTCGGCAGATTGAAGCACCGGAACTTAGTGGGGTTGAAGGGTTGGTGCAAGAAAGAAAAGGGCAGCCTCATTTTGGTATACGAGTACATGGAAAACGGAAGCCTCGACAAGAGGCTCTTCGAATGCGACGAGAGCAAGATTTTGAGTTGGGAAGAAAGAACGAGAATTTTAAAGCAAGTAGCTTCGGGTGTTTTGTACTTGCACTACGGATGGGAGTCGAAGGTTTTACATAGGGATATTAAGGCAAGCAACGTGTTGCTCGATAAAGAAATGAACGCTAGGCTAGGGGATTTCGGGCTGGCCCGTATGCACGACCATGATAAGGTGGCGGGGACCACGCGGGTGGTGGGTACCGTTGGGTACTTGGCGCCGGAGTTTGTCAGAAGTGGGAGGGCTTCGATGCAAACGGATGTCTTCGGCTTCGGGGTGTTGATTTTGGAGGTTGTTTGTGGGAGAAGGCCGATCCAAGGTGGCGAGCCGCCATTGGTGGAGTGGGTGTGGGATCTTTTGAGGCGGGAGGAATTGATCACAGCCGTTGATTCAAGGTTAAGGGCTAGAGGAAATCTTGATGAAGAGGAAGTCGAAAGAGTGCTTCATTTAGGGCTACTGTGTGCTCACCCGGACCCTAGCGCAAGGCCAAGTATGAGACAGGTGGCGAAATTCTTCGAAGGGAAGAGTGGTCAGGTGGATGAATCCGAAGGGGAGGACATGGGTATGCACTTACTAGACAAGATGAAAACCAAGGAGATTTGGTCTATGTATCCTCAGATTTTCAACAGCGGTTCTTCTAGTTCGCATCCGACTTTTGAAGAAATTAGAAAAGGGTTGTCTGATTCGATGTCGGTTTCTTGGTCTAGTGCAGTGGTGGAGGGTAGGTGAATCTTTCTGAAGAATTTATTAGTGATTGTTGGCACTCAAATATTCATGGAATTTGAATGGTTTATGGAAATTTTCAGGGTTTGGATTCTTTGGGATCGGAAAAGGCGATGTTCGTGGGCAGAGGTCGTAGAATACAGCTTATTTATTATTTGGTGTGAAATTATTTGGTTTGTTGATACCTTCATTTTTGTTGATCTGTGTAAAAAAGATTCAATCTTTATGTTTTGTCAGTTTGTTGTTCTTGAATCATGGCTCTACATACAGAGCAGTGTACATGTAATAAACTTCTCAGATTATGAACATGTCATTTGTATTTCTTTCAACTCTCCTTCTTACAGAACAAGCTTTTCTCAGCTGTCTGAGTTTAGACAGCTAATTATATCTTTCCTCAACTCAACTATTAATTCCAAAAAACTTACACGAAAAACAGACCACATTCGAGAAAAAAAAAAAAAAAAAAGGAAAGAGAGCGAAAACTAGAAAGAAAAAAAATCTCCGACCTCAAACGACTTCAACCGTGGGTCGTATATGCAAATTCGAGAAATTATCCACAAAATCAACACTCGGCTTAGGAATTATCGGCCTCGCCGAAGATGAGAAAGGCTGAGAAACGGGCAATCTCTGGCAAGATCTGAGCCACTTAGCTTGCATGTAACGGTGCTTTCTCCACGGGCCTAAGTGCATTTTCTTCTCCTTCATGCACTTCTTTGCCGCTGTGCACATAATCTTTAACAACACCAAAAGTCTCTCAATTTTGCCAACGAATATTTCGGGCAATCTCTTTACCAGCTTATTGTACTCTTCGCTCGCTCGGCCATCTCGATTCGGCCCGGAAATCAACTCGATTATTACCCTCACTTCTCCCTTCTTCGCGTTTGAGTTGTCTACTACATCCAAAAACGTGTGTTCCCCTGTAAGAAAATAAACACACGTGTTAAATGCCAATTCAGATAGTGACTACAATGAAGAAGTATTCGTCTCTATCTTCCACTTGAAAAATTAAAAATAAGAAATAGGAAATACCTGAGGGAATATCTGACGAACTCTTCCACTTGGTTTTGCAAATTGCAGTATTGAAACCTTCAATTTGGAGGCGGCGGCACACCTCCTCCATTCGACATTTCCGGCAACCCTGGTCTACCGGTTTACCGCAGGTGCAAAGGTTGCCTGGATTTTGTGTTTCGTTTAATGCTTCCTTTGTTATATTTCTGATTCTTGATTCTAATGAACTCGTTCTGCATATTGTTGACTGCCATAAAAAAACAACATAACGAAAAGTTAATCATGAGTTATATAATCACGCAACAATTAAGGCAAAATTATATATATGCATATATAAATTGGTTTTAAATTTTTCTAAAGGCTACGAGGAAATGAATATTGACAATTCAGGGGTTTTCTGATCAAATCCAGTTTTAGAAAAAAAAAAAAAAAAAAGGGTATCTTTCTAAATTCATGGATCGGATTTGAATCCTAACTTAATTCAATAATAATTACGAAAACGTGAACTTACTTGCAGCAGCTGAAATTGAGATTCCCAAAAATTATCATTTTTCGCCCCTAGGTTTTCGATTTCGTTATCGTTTTGGTTTTCTTTCTCGTCGGTATCTTCTTCTTCGTTCTCGTCGAAGCTGCTCGCCGGAGATAGCCCCTCGTATTCTTCACTCAGGAACTGGAATACCGTGTCGTCCGATAAGTTGATCGGCGCCTCGCCGGAAAACTCAATCTCTCGGCTATTACAATTCAGAATCCGGTGGTTTATGCGAATTTTGGCCATTTAATTTTTTTTTTATATATTTTCTCTGGTGGCGACTGCAATTGTTTTTTTGTGTGGTGAGTATAGAAATTGCAATTCAACGATCCTTGGAACTGAATTTATATACCTAGGTAAAGGGCAAGTGGTGGGCCCCACCCAATCCTACGTGGACAAAGAACCGGATGTGCACATGGTGATGATTAAATATTTAGGGTAGATTACAACCATCCCTGAAATATGTTAAAATTATAAAAACGCCCCCTTCTGTTTGGGTAATTACAATAACTGTTTTTTACTATAAATTTCCTTGCACATCTATCCTTGCAATTTCAAATTTAGTGAAATCTTCTTGATTATATGGAATATTATCACTTTTGTACCCATTTTATTTGATTCGAGCTCCATATTTTGAAGCAAGATGATCATAACATGTGTTTTTTGACTTGTATATATCAGATTGTGGTGCATCAAAAACTATATTTTTAAACAAAACGAATACAAACTATAACACATTCTATGCAATCGAGATGATTAGGTTGAATTTTACACCATGAGGGTCGAGCCATAAGAAGATTCATAGTTGGGCATAGATGTAATTATTCGAATAAGAAGGATTTTTTCGTAATTTAACAATACAGTATGTATTTGTTGTAATTTACACAAAAATTTAAAACGCACCTTCCCACACCTTAGGCGCTGATTGGTTAGCCCCAATCGAGTGGGGCCCACCAGATTGGACCAGACAGCCAGGATCCACGTCAGTCGGACTCAATAAGTTCATCGGCTCATACGGCTTTGGATATACTCGAATATTCTAAAATTAATATTTTAATGCAATTATTTTCGCTAGCCTATCCTAATCCCCACCCGTCAAACGTGGGCCACCACAATTTTGGATTTGCTGGGTGAGCGATGACACGTGGCGAAATCCTAGACGTTGATTTAATATGTTTATCTTGATGAGATGGGGCCAGCTGGTTCTCCTACCCAATATTTGTTGTCGATACTTACGCGGCGCCATGCTCGTGTTTATTCTTCTTTGGCGCGCTGGATTCCGCGATTTACCCCTCACTTGTGACATATATTGGATAAGTACAAGGGGTATTTTTGTCTTTTTCCATTGTCTTGGTCATCTCAGGATTGAGTCGCTATGATTGTTGTGGAGAAGACAAACATTAATGTATTTTATTTTTCTAATAAAATATTATTTATACACGTAGCATAAGAATCCTTCTGTCCCAAAATTATGAACTCAGTCCGAATAAAAATATAAATATATGAATTAAAATTGTATAAGAAAAAAATTGTGAAGAACCTGTAACATTGGAATCTTTCTGTCTAAATAAAATAAAATTATAACATATAAATTTGCAGGGCTTTGATTTGTTAAAAGTTAAAACTTCTTAATACTAAAATTATTTAATGTAAGAACTTTTCCACTTGATAAAAGTTTTGCGATCGGATTGGTTTAATTAAAATAATAAATAACAGTGTGATCTAATTAGGTTGGTATGTATAATTAATTAATTATATATATATTTGCAGGTACAACTCTCGGTTTAATTTAATTTTGTAGTAATATATGGGAACACATCCAAAAGCAGTGAGAGGCTGAGAGCAACATAAAGTTGGTTCCTAATTTATATAATATGAAGTGGGGTTAATTATATATTTATATACCAAGTTGTGATATTTTTTTCCAATTTTCACGTGAAAATAATTCAATAAGGACAAGTTTCTTGTTTTATACTTGATAGAAAGTCTACTAAGTAATTTGTGACCATATACTTACACTCAAATCACTATATATATCTCAATACATGCAAAATTAGCAATTATCTCTATATGCGTATGTATATAAGAGATATTATTTGATAAAGGGTAAATCTACAAACTGCAAGGGTATAGATGTATTTTTCTTAAAAAGTAGGGTCTTTTTTGTAATTTACTAAAAGTTCATCCAATTTGGCCAAGTAATAAAGCTAATATGCAATCAACAAACATTATTTAGTAATTGATTTTTTATTTGATCTTGTCCAGTGTTTTTGGTCTTCTTCGCCAGACAATAATTATTGTTTAACCATGATTGAGGATTAATTGATTGATTATTAATAATAATTAATTAATTATGTAATTATGGTGATACATTCAAAAGAAAGAAACAATAAACGTGTTTAAGTTTCATTTTCAATTTGAATATAATATTAATCACTTGCAAAATATTGCAAGTTCTAGCTAGGTAGATTCATTCATAATAACAAAACATTCTTGCCACTCGTTCTACAAATTATCAAAGGCGAATTATTATATAATGTATAAATTATTATTTTGATGGAGAAACCTAGGCTAATCTAACAATAAAATAAATAATTATAAATAAATATAGGGTAAATTACAACCACCCCAATGTATTGTAAAATTAAGAAAACCCCCCTCTTGTTTGGTTTATTACACGTTCACCCTTGCGGTTTCAAATTTAGTGGAATCTTCGAGATTATATGGAATATTATCACTTTTGTACCCGTTTTATCTCATTCGAACTCCACATCTTGGAGCAAGATGATCATAATAGGTGGTTTTTGGCTTGTATATATTAGATTGTGGTGCATCATAAACTGTATTTTTACACAAAACGAGTACAAATTAGAGCGCATTCCACGAAATCTAGATGATTATGTTGAATTTGACACCATAAAGGTGGATGTGTAAGAAAAAATCATAGCTGATGAGGTAGATGTAATTATCCAAACAATAGGGGATTTTTCGTAAATTGACCATACCTCAGGGGTTGGTTGTAATTTACCCAAAAATAAATGAATAGGAGTACTATAGGACAGCTTCTAATACTAATTAAGGAATAGATGAGTTCAAACATTTTTAATCAAAATTTTGTTTGTAAATTTTCATAATATAATAATGGAAAAACTTGGTATCTTGATGTAAATCTTGTTCCTAATTATTAATTGCAAGGGATTAAGAAAGATGACAGGCTGCCAAAAAATAAATAAAATAATTAAATAAATAAATAAATAAAACTGATTATGATGGATACTGGTAATTAAAATACAGGCCTTATCCTCACACATCACTGCTAGCTATCAACTCCAAACTTGTCGAGTGATTTTTTTCTTTTTTTGAATTAATGAATGCCAATTTGCCCAACCAAGAAAGTGGATTACGGGCCGGGTTCGTTTAATTTTCGACCCGGCCCGTAACGAAGTTCCTTCAAAACACGATCAGCTTCAATTCCAGGGCTTAATTCTTGT